GCTTACGAGGAAATCTTTTCCACGGCTTTACGAGGAAACCTTTCCTCGTAAATTAGCTAGGCCTTTACGAGGAAAATAGGCTTTACGATGAACGTCTTTCGACGAAACACGTTTCCTCGTTATTTCCTAGTAAAGGGCCATTTACTAGGAAATAACGAGGAAAACCCGTCCTAGTAAAGGACGTGTTTTCTTGTAGTGTCTACTTTCGTGACTTTAAGATTATTTATGTTCCTAGATTACAGAACGACGCTTCTGATTCTCTAGCTAAAGTTGCCAGGTCTTTTTATCATAAACTTGTGTACGTTGGTTGTTCTATTCCGGTCTGGTTACCCAGACCACCTCAAGTTGCTTGAGTAATAGACCAGCCGTTTGATGTCAAAAAAATATATATATATATTATTAAATAATAATTATTTATATGGAAATATAGTGTTTTACAGTTTTTTGCTTATGATTTTTTTTTTAAAAGGAAAATTAACTTTAAATTATTTTAGTCAATGTTTTTCTTTAAAAAGACTGTTATTTAACACAAGTGATAATCTTAAATATATAATTATCATATGTCATGATCGTCTTAATTAAAAAATTTGAAAACCAAGCTTTATATAATAAAAAAAAAAATTATGCAAGTTTTTTTTAACAAGAAAAACTAACTTTAAATTCTTTTAGTTAATTTTTTAACTATTATTTAACACATATTATAATCTTAAATATATAATCGCCATATTTTCCCGATCATGTTGATTAGCAACTTGCTAAACCAAGCTTTATATAATGACATGTGTCAAAAAATATAATACAATTTTATTTTGTTTAGGATTTACAAAAGGAAAATTGTTATTACAAAAAAAAAAATTCGTATGGTTTGTTTTTATGATTTTAGAAAAGAAAAATTACTATACACAATTTATTAAAATTATATTTTGACTATCATTTAAAATAAATTATTAGTAAATAGCTATTTTAGTAAATATGAAATAGTTTTTTAAAAGAAGATTTTTTTCAATTCGTTTTTTATATCTCTACCTATTTTATAATTTATTGTTGTTAGTTAAACTGGCTTTAGTATCATGTTTATTATCAAATTTTTAAAAAACATTATTAATTAGTTAAATCATATAATTATCTCTTGTTAGGATTGAAAAAGAGATATAATAAAAATTCTCTTTTTGTTTCAAAAAATGAATTAACTTTTTCGGTTATTTTTATATTATTTTGGTTTATGTGTTTTTAAAGAAAAACTGTTAATTAATACATACCATGATCTTAAATATAATTGTAATGTGTCAAGATCATGCTAAATAGCAACTTTAAAAAACTAGTTTGTAATGACCTTAAACCCATGTTTAAAAAAAGAAATACTATTGTTAAAATTTTATTTATATGAAAATATTAAAAAAAATAAAAGTTTCTATATCCAAGACTTTTACCATCTTTATATGTATTCATGTTTGGCTATATTCATGTAATTCTCTTTAATTTAGTATTTTATACAGGTAAAATACTATTCTCTTTACAATTCTCTTTAATTTAATATTTTTAACAGGTAAAATACTATTAAATATTTATCAGAAAAATATTTTGTAAATACTTTAATTTGTATAGAAATTTATCTTGCAATAATGTTTAGTGTTAATTATATTAGACCATTTTTGAAAAAAAAAGAAATGATATTGTTGAAATTTTATTTATATTGAAATATTAAAAAGGTTCTTTGTTTAAGAACTTTTAAAAAAGAAAATTATCTTTTTAGATTATTGTTAGATTCTTTTGGTCTAATTTGTTTTATTAAGGAAAACTGTTATTTAACATATATCATAATCTTAAATATATAATTGCCATCTATCCTAGTCATATTAATTAGTAACTTTGAAAAACCAAGCTTGTAATTATCTTAAAACCATGTTTTTAAAAAGATATACCATTGTTAAAATTTTATTTATATAGAAATATTAAAAAATAGAAATTAAAAAAGGAAAGTTAACTTTTTAGATTTTTTATATATTCTTTTGGTTTAAGTTTAAAAAAAAAACTGTTGTTTAATACATGTCATAATCTTAATCATCTTAATTAGTAAAATTAAAAGAATATTATTATTAAATTTCATTTATATGGAAATATAATTTTTACAGTTTTTGTTTAAGATTGTTTTAAAAGGAAAACTAACTTTTTAAAAGTTTATGTTTAAGATTTTTTAAAAAGTAAACCTAACTATTAAATTCTTTTGGTTTAAGTTTTTTTTTAAACCAAATTGTTTAACACATGTCATAATCTTAAATATATAATCGCCATGTATCGCGATCATGTCAATTATATAATAAGATCTTTGTTTCATTTTAATATTTTTATTAAATGGCACCTCTTAAGACCAATTAAATGGCATAGTCGTAAAAATAAAACAAATCAACTAATTTCCCATTCAATATCGATGTCATTTACCACATACAATTCTTTTAGCCTCGTCTTTCATTAGCATTACCACATGCAATTCTTCTTTCATTCTTCATGGTTACAAACTACTGTAGTAAAATCAGTATTGTATAGATAAGAGTATTTGATGAAATATCTGCATAATAATAAAAAATTAAGATTTTGCTTGCTTTAAAAAATAAATGTATAAAAATATTGTCGACAAGGGCATAATTTTTTTTTGCGTTTTAGACGCCTTAAAACTCTGGACCGGCACTGCTTACACTTGGGTAGCAAGCAATGATAAGCTTTGTATTTATGTTTTATTTGGAAATAAAAGAAACTTGAACATAACATAAACTCATGCCATGTTCTCACACCGAATGAAAACAACAGTTACACTTGGGATTTTACTACGCGCGGTAATTCAAACCTCATATGTGTTTGTAGCAGATAGTGATTGTCAACTTCCTCAACAACCGCCCAACAGGCGTCAGGACTGCCGTATGTCTGCATGCAACATTTACAGCAGTCACAATTGCTACTTATGAACGAGACATTCCCGCACTCCTGGTAGAACACACGATCAGCGGGCGTAAAGCACTGAGGAGCACCCTTATTGTAGCATATCCCTTGGGCCTCGCTCTTGGTGATACCTCGGTGTTCAAATAGTCGTCAAGATCACCGGCACAAGTTAATGAAAAGACAACTGCAAAATGTAAATAGAGATCAACTTTTTAAAATTAATACCAGTTGAAGCCATCACGAGAACAATCAAGAGAACAGTGAACAAATCCATAGGAGTGTGGATCTATTTATACTAAAAGTTCTGTAACTTTGTATTACTTGTTGAATCACTCCTCTCTTCTTTGAGGTTTTCCTAAGTTCATAATGTCGCTACAATTTTGCATTGCCATCTCTTTCATTACATCATGTTTTGCAAGTACAGTGAAACCTTAATAAATTAATAAAGTCGGGACTACACCAACGTTATAATTTTTTATTAATTTATAGATATTATTAAATTGACATATTAATTGAACTAAAAACTCAATTTAAGACTATATACTTATATTATTTTATGTATATTAATTTATAGAATATTAATTTTAAAAATTTATATTGTATACCTTTTTCTTAATCATGCACTTGTCTTATATTATCTAGAAAAGGGAAGTCGTCGCTGTGTTTGTTGTTATAACTAATTATGTATTTGAAGAAGCTCATATCACATCTTCTATTGACATAAAGCACACAGAAACTATTTTTTAGTTACAACCCTATTTTTTTCTTGGTAATGTAACTCCAGGAATCACCATCGCTGAATACTTTAGAGATAGTATGATGGCAGACTCAACTTCCCGTTGGGCAGAAGCATTGAGAGAAACTTTAGGAAGGCTGGTAATATCTTGCTTCTCACTTTGTTGTATGTATTTTTGTGTTGTCCTGCTACTCCTTTTCTCAGTTTCTTGACACCTGTTTTGTTTGGTTTTATAGGCTAAAAATAACAGAAGAAAAATATATTAAACAGTTTCTTGTGTTTTGAAATCACTGTAAAAAAAAAAAATCAGAGACAGCAATATCAAAAAAAAAACTAATAGAAATACAAAAGTGACTTTCTTTGTCTACTAAACTTGAAATATTATTTTAGGAATTCATAACTAAACTTTCCAGATAGCATGGTTTATTTAGTATTCAAATAAATTAACATATACAAAATTTAGCTAATATGTATATTTTTATTTAATAAAAGTTTCTATTAAATATTTACTCTTAACTATTTAATTATTCTTCAATTTTCATCCCGCCCGTAAAACGGACCGGCCTTAGTAGTATATAAGGTTTAGTTGTTTTCATCCAAAAATACAGAATACATACTTTTAATAAGATTACTTTATAAGTAACATGTAAAATATAGGGAAATTCTCTCAAATAGTTTAAAATTTTTTTTGTCATAAAAATAGCTCTCAAAAAATAAAATGACCAAAATAGCTTCTTTTGATTAAAATGTGTAATTTTTTTATTTTTTTTTAAAAAAAAGTTGAAACTAAACCCAAAACTATACTCTTAACTCTAAACCCTACGTCTGGATTAACTAACACATTGGTATAAATGCATATTTATCATTTAATAAAAAAATATTTTTTAGTTATTTTCCTCTTGAGGACTATTTTTGTAAAAATAAACTAAAGATTTCTATTTAAAAGAATTTCTCTAAAATATATCGCTATTTCATTTGTCCTTAATGTTTTCATATAATAAAGATTATTCGTCTACATAAAAAGTGTCATACACCAAATAAATTGAGAATCGGCATTTTAATAAAACTAATCTTGTCAATTACATTCTAATGTCACTAAGAAACTAATTTATTCTAACTTTTAGCATCTATTATCTTTTCTCAATTAAAACAACCATAAACATACCAAACTAATTTCAAAACTACTTAATGTTAATGCACACACTCAATTTTGTTTCATAAATTTACCTATATTAATTTTCAAACATACCTAAATCGATTTCAGAACGATAAAATTTACCATTTTTATATAACTTTAGAGTGTTATAGTCTAACATATAATATATAAAAATATAAATTAATATGTAAATGTATTATTTTACATATATTTTCATATAATTAAGTGCCCAATCAAAATCCAATATGCTAAATGGTTAAGGATATAAAGTATATAGCACCAAATTTTAAATAATATATATATAACAGTTTTATCACACAACATTAAAATTTTGATTCATAAGAAACTAAAAATACATCCTTGCAGACAAACATGTCACATTCTAAAAATGTGGATGATACAGTTGATGCTTCAAAAATAAATAAATTTACTGGATATAAATTATTATGTCTAGAATTTTTATATTAAACAAGGATTTAATACACGACTAATAAAAATTTATTTATAAAAATATAAAAATAAACATTCGTACGGAAGCACGAATCCAGCTCTATTTTAACTTAACAATAAAGGTCTGTAACTATTTTTCAGTATATATCTGATTTTAAACTATTAGTTTCAATTTTTTCCAAACAAAAGACAACAAATGAAAATAATATTTTTTTATATTAGCTCTCAACACAAGTATGATATGAAAAAGTTATAAAGTGACAAAATAATGTTTTAATATTTAATTAATTTAATTTTATAAAATAAAAAATTAAACTTAAACTATCATATTTAGCTTAGTATATACTTAAACTGATCAAATACATTATTTATTTATATAGGGGGTTAAAAATTACTAAAGTTACATTATTTATTTATATAGGGGTTTATATTACAATTGATGTTCTTACAATTGCAGATTTGAATATTAATTAGAAAAATAAAAAAGTTTACAAATAAATCAAAACATTACCAATTCACAAATATAAGAAAAATGATTTTTTTTGGTTATTAAATATCAAAATAATTCTCATAGTGATGTGCTATAAATTAGCTTAAGATCATCATTAACTTTATTAATAAAAATTTAATCCTAAAAGGAAAACTGTAAAATAGGATACAGTAAGATAAGAAAACAAAGCTGTAAGAAATTTACAAAAATATAAAAGATAAGAAAATAAAAAATGACAAAGTTTATACAAGTGGAACTGAAATTTTTTGAAAATACAAAAAATGAATAAAATAAAATAATTACATAAAAATAAAAATTTATCAGTGTATAAATATAAAAAATAGTGGCATTTAAATAAAATTATTAATAATTAAAAAGAATAAACTATTAATAGATATATATCATCATTTTTATCATTTATTATACTTTATATTATCAAACTTTTAATTATATTCAAAATTTTCTTAGTATATAACTTTACTACATATAAAAGGATATATGTTTAATAAGATTTAAATTATAATATAGTAGTAATTGAATTAACATGTGCTTACTGTAATTAAAATTAAATAAAAACAAACAAATTAATCACAAAACCAAGAAAAAAGATGAAGGTTTCTTTTGTCTTATTATCTGCAACCTTAGGCTTCTGTTAAACTTTGCTAAAGTAGAAACCAGAAATACCAAAAAATAAATTAGTAATAAATAAAAAACCATGCACCCAACCAAAAGAAAAAAAAAAGGTGAAAACAATAGTTTAAAGGATTTGAATAACAGCAACGGAGCATACTAAAAGGTTCAGAGATCCTGTTCGATCAAGTAATCCCCCAACCTCTCGACGACCATGTTACATTGTCCTGGAGTCACAGGTTCTTCGTACAGACCAAACACCATCGATTGTCCTGTTTTCTTGATCGTTATTCCTCCAGCTCCCTGCACAAGTTTTAATTATAATCCCGCAAGTCGCAATCGCTAATAATGGTTTTTAGTTTGAAAACCAATTTCGTAACATCTGATATTTGCAAGAGTTGATTCCCCTACTTTTAGGCATCAATTGTTTCAAATGCATTTCATGCGTTTATGTTTGCATTTGCATGGAACCTTTTTATACATATAAAATTTGCTTCTTGAAATAAATAACATGCTTTAAGCTTTATAAAATGTTTTGTAAAGTAAAAACGTCAAATGCAACAGGAAGGTTGTGAGTCCCATCTGCGTTGGCCATTTACATTAACAAATGATGAATTTAATTCATTATTTAATGTTATATATATATATATATATATATATATATATATCTATATATATGTGTGTGTGAAAAGTATTAAATGTGTATGCAAAAGCAAAGAAACTCGATTGCTTCAAACGCAAATTTCTACATTTTCATTTGCACTTATACTTCAAAAGTAGATAAAAAAAAAACAAATTCCTAATATATACATGCAGAATGTATGCGAAAACAAACATTAATTGTAATATTAAATCTTAAACATTCTCCTAATCTTACCTTCTTGCCACGGATGACTGCACCAGGCTCGCCTTGGATAACCATATACTTAAGACCTGCAAGAAATAAGCCAGTGGGAGCTAGGTGACCAGGCTCATCAAAATCTTTCATGATAGCTGTCATCTCTTGAGGCTTGAACTGTTTGAAGAGAATGAATCATCAGATATGATACAACTAAATTAATTCTTGTCCAAAATCAGGAACTTGGTGTAGTTATACATAAGATAGCAAGACATCCCCATGTAGGAATCACAAAGGTAATATGTTCATTTATAAACATTTTAGAGATAACTTGGAAACCGAGTGTTTATCTCCAATAAAACAATTATTTGTTCTAGTCCGTTTCGTAGGGGCCAATAAGAAAAGAAGCAATCACAATTTCAATCATCAGGAAAATAAATTATGAATGCAAACTTGTAACATCAGGAAAATAAACTTGGGTTATAACTTTTAACAATATATATATATATATATATAAAACTTATAATTATAGTTTGAAAACGGCTATATGCCAAGGTCTAACAAAATGAAAGTCGGAATCTTCAAGAACGCGGTCATGCACGATCAAGGAGAAGACATATCACCTGAGGAAAATTAGCGCTCTGAGCCCAAACGCTACCGTCATGGCCGATGATGGCGGCAGCGGTGAGGTGGTGACCTTGACCGTCACCGACATCGCACATTAAGTGCTCATCAACGTAAGTTTGCCACGACATTGTCTTTCTTGTTCTTCCCTTTACTCTTACCGGTTTGTTTTTTAATCTCTCTACGTATGTATGTGCAATGCAACTCTGAGGAAGACTTTGTCGTCTCTCGATAAATAGGGAACTAACAAGAATGTTGTAAGATGAAGTCTGGGCCGTTGGATTCTAAAGGCACATTCTTAGCCGCTCATAAAATTGAATTGATTATACTCACGCCTCGCCTTTGTTCTA